CCTGTTATATATATCCATAGAAGCAAAGTTCAACATCAACTGGTAAACCATGACCATTCCTATTGACTACATTATATGGGCAATAACTTCGTAAAAGAAAATTGCATTCTTGCTTGGAAAAAACTGTGATTCTTAAATGTAACTTTATTTTCCTATTGACTAACATACTTCGATTTCTTCAGCACATCATGGGAATCTAAAGTTAACTATGGCATTGGCAACAGCATGAACAAGGTTGAGCTGAAATTACATAAAACATAAATAAAAAACTTACTATCCAATTTTTAAAAATTCCGTGCAACCTTATCTAAGCAAACGATCTATGAGTTCATATGGGAAAAGAAAATTATATAATTGAAGACCAAAACAAAGAAAAAAGAGTTCAAATCAGCACCAACTTGAGGCTTCTTCATCATATTTCCCTCCTCATCAACGAAATATCCGAAACCTGATGAAGAAAGTGTGTAAAATTCCATAATATAAAATTCAGGTGGCATCACTAACAATGGAGTAAAACAAATCACCTTAATGTGTGGAAGCAAATATCCTTGCCTGCAGGCAAAGAGACACACAAGGAACAAGTTCTCAAGCGTAGGGTTTTTCTCATTTAATAAAACCTCTCTTTGCTAAGTTGGACAATGAAAACAATTGGGCAAAATTAAGTGCGCTGGCCATCTTCCCATGGAAACTACTATTTAATGTCAAAATGAAAAAAAAAAATGTATTTAGCATAATATAAGAGGCTAGGAGCATTTCTTGGAAGCATTTACATAATTTCATAATTTTGTACAACCATGCTATTTGAGAAGAGGCATTCAAAAATAGAAAATAGCTAAATTAGATTAACTTTTTATAATCTTAGTCTGATATTAGTATGTTACTTATTATTACATTGTTTTCATTAAGTTAATCATTTAACTTTGAGGTTTACATCTCACCTCGTGAAAAGGAAATACCCCAATACCTGACTAGGATTTTAAACCTTAAATACAATACTTCATCAAGGGAATTATTTATCAAGAAAGATGATAATGATATTTAGCATGTTCTCTTTCTATCTACTTTACGGAACATTTGGAAGGAAAGGAATAACAAGTTTTTCCAAAACAAATTAAGAAAAGAAAAAATAATATGATTCAATATCATATCAAAAGTACTTTTGGAAGGATTTTAATTAAAGAAAAAAAGAAGTCATTATCATCAAGGAGAGGGAGAAATGGTTAGTTATCTTTATTCTAGATAAGCATTTAAGATTTTGCGGTGCTACTATCTGATCCTTTAGTTCCTCTATTTTTTAATGCCCTTTTTCTCCTTTGGTAAATTTGTAGTTTTGTAATTGTCATGTTTTCTATTATTTAATGATAAGTGGCTACCCCAATTTTTTAGTCCAAATAAGAATAATCTAGACATGACAAGACATTCAGCACTGTAAGAATTAATCAACCCAATAATTTTGCAGAAACCACTAATGATTTTGATGATATTTGTGGCACGAATGAATATATGCTAAGGCGTGACATGCCTTCATATTTAAGGAATTCGAATCAAAATTAAAAATATATGAAGCTGATATTTTTGCTAGAATGCAACCACAAGTAAAGTTGATATTTTAGCTAAAATGGTACTGCAAGCAAACAAACATTACCTACAAGATCAAAGATAATGAATAAAAATAGAGAAACCAAATATCACAAGCATTGATAACCAATGTCGCATATGTCACCAGTGCATGAAAGAGAAAACATAATTTACAGAAAAAATCATATTAGTATAATTGTGAAAAATAAAGACATAAAGCCTAGCTCTCACCATCTTGACCAATAGAGGAGCCATTGTGGATAACACATGACATGCCCACAGAGCAATTGCTTAATACAGTGTTATACCTGAAAATATATTGGAATTATTAAACTTAAAATAAAAGATTAATGGATAAGAAACAAATTGCAGATCAACGGCTGAGTGAAATACTTCAGTGTGATTTTAAGTCCAACTAAGAGATCATGCAGATAACTGATGTGGGGCTTAACTAGGCTGAACCAGTCGGTTCATGAACAAGGATGGATCGGTCCACAGCAGATAGGCTGGACCGGATAGTACTTCTTAGGGCAGAGGCTGCCGATAGCCCCTCCCCCTCTGCCCCCCAGTTACTATAAATATGTTTGTTTGTTGACTTAGGGTTAATTTTTGTCTTTCTGATTTTAGAATTTTGTCCATATTGTTGTTAAAGTTTGTTTTCCCGTCTAGAGTTATATCTGAAGGGGAGAAGGTGCTCTGGTTGTAACTCATCCAAGGTGATGATTTTCTCCAAAGGCTCGAGGGGTGCTCCGACTGTAACTCGATCCCGCGGGGACACTTATCTTCCCCAACTTCCACCACATCCCCCACTTCCCTGTTTCCACTGTCGTTACCCTCCATCAACCCCCCCCCCCCCCCCCAAGCTGTGTCGCCACTTCCTATTCAATCAACCTGTTGTCGTAAACCGTTCTGCCCCCCAACAAGCACCCTACCAACTATTCAGCCACCACCATTCCCCCTTTTGTCGTCTCCCTAGGGTGTCTTTTCATGGATGTTATTATTTATTTCATGTTTTGAAGAGTCGTTGTAATTTATTTGAATTTCAACAATAATATTTTCATTTTTATTGTGGTTTGAGTTAACTCTTGTATCATTTGGAATCAGGTTTGCCTAACCCTAGTCATATCATAAAATTTCATAGCATCCGTCTTATCCCTCCTAAAATTTTCTTTCCTATTTCCAAATCATAGCCATACTTTGACCCAACCCTAATTTTCCCTTACTGATTGTGAAAATGAGCAACACTAAATGAATTTTTAGACCCACTTTCACCTCCCAACTCTAAACCCTAGCCATGCTACCAAGGACATATATGTCCGAGCCTACCCGGAAAGAGAAACAGCGAGAGATCCATCAACTTTAGTGGAGACTTGCGAATATTGAGAATGGAACCCATGGGGACCTTATCCTCGGCGGTGATAGAGAAAGTCGAACAGGCAAAAGAGACTAGAATTTCAACCATGCATAGGGAGGATTCCAGTAATGAAGAAGAAAGACCATGGTGTTTCGGAATCTAGTACCAAAGGAGGCTTGGAGAAGAGACAACATTTGGAGGACATACAGACTGCGAAATCAATGTAGATTTACTAGAGTTCGATGAAAGTATGGATCCAGACGACTTTATCGAATGGATACAATCAGTTGAGATAATTTTTAAGCACGTAGAGATACTAGAAAATAGAAAGGTGAAGCTTGTAGTTATCAAATTGAGAAAGCGTCGACCTGTGGTGGGAAAGCATGCTGAAGCGGATGAAGAGAGAAGACAATAATAAGATTACCAAGTGGGAGAAGATGAAGAAGGCGATGCAGAGAAAATACCACCCTCCTCACTATTGTCAAGATATGTTTTTGAGACTCCGCCAGCCGCAATAAAAAGACTTACCAGTGGAGGAGTTCACAGCGCAGCTTGACTAGCAGCAGATGAAGTGTGATGTGGTTGAGCCAAAGAAACACACCATAACTCGTTATGTGGGGGCCTGAAGCCCGCTATTAGCAATGTGGTGCAGCTGCTACATTATTTGTCACTTGTAGATGTCCAGACCTTAGCATTGAAAGTGGAAAGGCGACATAAACAGATTAGGCAACCACACCAGTCAGGTAGCCACCCACAGCTGGAGACACCAGTAGGAGTATGCCACAGGGAGTTGAGAAAACTAGTTTGGATAAGGATAAAGCCACCCCCAGTGAGAATCCTAAGAAGAGTAACATGCCTACTACGGTCCCCACCAGAAAATGCTTCAAATGCCCAATTTTGGACACATCGCCTGTAGTTGTCCAATGAGTCTACTAGTCTTTTACCAAGTAGGGCGTTGTGGAGGAGGTTAGCGATGAGGAGATAACTGACGAACATGGTGAAGTGCATCATCTCTCACCTGAAGGTGGGATGCTTATGGTTCGACGGATCCAACAGACCAAAGATACGAGGGATTCATAGTGGCTGCCACAATATATTCTACACTCATTGCATTGTGAACGGGAAGGTATATAGCCTCATCATCGATGGAGGAAGCATTAAGAACGTGACATCTATAAAGATGGTAAAGAAGTTGGACCTCATGACTCAGAGGCATGCCTAACAATATTATCTTACGTGACTGAACAAGGAGAACAGGGTCAACATTAACCGAAGGTGCCTTGTAGAGTTTTCATTTGGGAGCCAACAACAAGATCATGTGTGGTGTGACGTAGTGTTCATGAATGTCTGTTACCTATTGTTAGGGAGACCATGAGAGTTTGACCATATAACTCGACACAACGGAATTAGAAACACAGACTCCTCACCAAGGAGGGGAAGTGTGTCGTCCTTTTCCCTTCTGTGGAGCCTGAGATCACAGGTGCCCTTACGAACTAAGCGGCATCGATGAGACTAGTTTTGACGATGATAAAGGAGGAAAGGACCGAGAAGTCAATTCCAGACACACAAAATCACAACAAAGAGCATTTCAAGACATCACGATTGATATCTTACTACCATGACCGCTACTATTTGGAGAGGTTCAGAATACCCTCACTGCAAATCAAGTTAAGTCGACCTTGGGTTACTTTGCTAGGATTAAATAACATATGCGAGACACAGACCTAGCTCAATTCGGTGCGGATCCCATGGTGAGTGGATGGATATGGATGTATGCTTGCAAATGAGAAAAATCCTCCAATGTTTTGGGGAACAGTGAAGCCGTTCGTGGGATCCAGGTGCTTCTTGGACCACAGTAGAAGTACATCAACTCCATCACCGTCAACATGCAGTTAGAAGCTTTGACGAATGAAGTTGAAGTTTCCCAGACCCCGGGAGACTAAGACGGGGCGTGACTGGGCTGAACCAACTGGTTCAGCTATAAGAACGGATCGTTCTAGCAGCGAGTTTGGACCAGCTAGTTTTTCTTAGGGTAGAGGTTGTCTCCTCCCCCTTCCCCTCCTAGTTATGATAAATATGTTTATTTTGTTGTCTTAGGGTTTAGTTTGTCTTTCTGATTTCAGAATTTTGTCCAGCTTGTCGTAGGCAGTTGTTTTCTCGTCTAGGATTGTGTCTGAAGGAGAGAAGATGATCCGACTATGGCTCATCCAAGGTGGCGATCTTCTCGAAGGATTTGAGGGGTGCGTCGGCTATAAATCGATCCCGTTGAGACACTTATCTTCCCCAATTTCCCTTCGTATCCCTGTCTTCCCTATTTCTAGCCACCAATCCCACTTCTTTTCCTGTGTTGTTTCCACTGTCGTCACCCTCCAGCCACTCAATTGTTGTTAGATAGTACTTTATCGCCTAACCTGACACCACAAATCACTCCTTTCCTACTGTGTCACGGCCTTTCCAATCCACCCTACTGTCGTAACCTGCTCTGCCACCCAACCTGCCACCGTAAGCCACTTCTTCACCTCCCCAGTTGTGTCGCCACCTTCCTATTCCATCAACCTGTTGTTGTATACCATTCTGCCTCCCAACCTGCACCCTACCAACTATCCAGCCACCACTACTTCCCTTCGTCGCCGTCCTAGGGTGCCTTTTTATGTTTGTTATTGTTTATTTCATATTTTGAAGAGTCATCGTTGTAGCCAATTTGAGTTTCAACAATAATATTTTCATTCTTATTATAGTTTGGGTTAACTCTAGTATTGATGACATTCATGAACAAATAAGTAACAAATAGAAACTTGGATTAAGTATTATGTCAACCTACATGCATTGTAAATTTAAACAATGTTGTCCAATAAAGAACCGATATTGAGCTAAGTTCATCAAACAAGAATTGAAAAATATCATGCACATGCCATTCATGAATAAATAAGTAACAAATAGACACATGGATTAAGTGTTATGTCAACCTACATTCATTGTAAATTTAAACAATGTAGTCCTTTAAAGAAATGGTTTTGAGCTAAGTTCGTCAAACAATAATTGGAAAACCAAAAAAAACCTTGGAGAAGGCTGAAAAAAATGGCTTCTTCCCAAGTGAAGATAGGGTTGTCCATGTGGCAATTCAAATAAATAAATAAAAAGATGTTTTTCCCCTGAAATTTGATGCGGCCAGCACTAACAAGAAGTGAACTTACACTATCAAAGAAGTTGTACAAACTTGCCTACACCATTATCTGACCATGGAAAACGTCATACACCACCCTAAAAATAACTCAAGCAAGTTCTTGCGTTGATTAATGGACACCATGGTCTGACCAACCCCCCTATGAAAATTGGAACACTAGGCCCAATAAAGACAGAAATTCAGAACTCCAATGTCAAAATTTAGAGCAGCAAGGGTAATCAAAGGGAATGATGCATCTCAATGTAAATTCAACTAAACTCTCAACAAACAAAAAGGGAGATATTATTAGCATTTGAAAAAGAAGGCTAATTATTCTAGAAGCATGGCACTGCCATGAGAACATGCCTCATGTGTGCTTGTTAAAAGTAGACAAATCATATAGGAGATCAAGTAAGATTTTTAGCCCTTCTTCATAGAAAAAAATAAGGATTCGTGGAGCAATCAACCATATGTACCGCAAGCCATACAACCCAGACGCGTGTCAAGAACTTAGAGCTAGAAGTAGACTCTCTTATGAGAAGGAAAAAATCCTAAATGAAATATGAGAAGATGAAATCTCTAGGGTGAATCATGATGGAGTTTGATTCTAGAATAAATGACTCCGTAACCCTTACTCTCAGATATAAAGACAATAGCCCTTGACTTTTGCAACTCAAATAACATAGAAAGTCTATTCCTCTCTCTCTCTCTCTCCTCTCTCTCTCCAACTCTCTAAATACCTTTCGGTATATTTCACATCAAACTATTTGAGTACACCTATGTCTTTTACAATCTAACCAATTGATCACATTGAGTAAGATCATGGTTATCTTAAGGGAAAAAAATAAACAAGTCTTTATCCCACTAAGTGGGGTAAGCTACATGAATCCATTTTTTCCATTGTTTCATATTGAGTGTCACATTTTCATTTAATTATAATAAATTAAGATTATTTTTTATACAACATGCCCAAATATTTTTAGGAATACCTCAACATTTCTTAACATAGGTCAAATCTAAAACATCTATACTCCTAATCGGATCATTAGATGGTCAACGTTTAATGTGAACAAACCATCTAAGATAACTCCCTCTAATCTTGTCAGCCACTAGAGCTACACCAGCCCTTTCACAGATATATTCGTTTTGGATTTTGTCTCTTATGTGTAAGGCAAATCATCCACCTAAGCATTCTCATCTAAGTAAACCTTAACTTAGTTTTATGCTTCTGATTTATAGGTCAACATTCTGCGCTATAAAGCATTGTACGTCTAACCACCATCCTATAAAATTTTCCTTTAAGTCTATGTGGTACTACTCTATTACACAATAGAACCGATGCATTCCTTCACTTCAACCATCCAACTTTAGTTCTACTAAAAACATCCCCATCTATATTAAAGAGAGCAAAAAAGATGCCATTGCAAACTGAAAAAACGGTAATAAATAGATTAAAAAGTAAGCATTTATAGTTAGAGAATAACTCATACCTAATGTTAGTTGATTGCCCTATTGACACAGAAGGCCCCACTATGGAGCCGGATCCAATATGCACTTCAGCTCCAATAATGGCTTTCTGATGGACTATTGCACCGATTTCTATAAATACACTAGGATCAACATGAGCAGACCTGTGAAAAAGGCCGCCACCATTATGCCATTCTGCAAACCCTAATGAATCCCTGATAGTTTCCTCTGCTTCCATGAAAATCAAACAAGTGCATTAGCGAATTAAAAAAAAAAAGTGAAATTTATATACATACCACACAATTTTTATGTATTTACATATTAACACCTAAAGATTGATATATACATTTATAACACCTTGGAGTCATAAACCTATGCCTGAAAAAAATGTATTTCACTTTTAACAAAAATAGTGATTGCCGAATTTTCGATGTGATGTTAAAGCTTTGAGTGGTATGCATGCAAATGTGAGTTTCGGTATTAGACAAGTAAATACATTAGAATTGAATAGTATATATGTACATGCCACCCCCACCCCCTTAAAAAAAATAAAAGGAAGAAGACAGTTAAAAATTGTTGTAAATTCTCATTGCAATATTTTAAAAAAATTGCAACTTTCACTTCGATTAAACTGTCAAGCCATAGAATTTGTTGCTAGAGTTTAAGTGCGAGGAACATATTTAAAAATGCCCACCACTGAAATGCTTATCCATTATAACAAAGGAGTGTTACTTGATTGCTTAGAACACAGAAATGAGTCACTTAATAAAAAACAAACAAAAATTAAATAGCGTACAACAGTGCAAAAGAGATTTTTTTTTCTGGCAAAATTTGTATGACCAAATATAAACAAGACACAAACATTTCTTTTCACTCGAACTCATGAAGATTCACAATACCCTTGACTCAAGCAGAAAACAATTTAGACAGGATTAAGTTGTTCAAATTCAAGTACTAAAAACTTCATCTCATCTTTAAAAATACTTCTTTAAGATGCACTCACCACAGCCAACGGGTTTGGAATGCAAAATACTCTTGCTGGCACAAAACGCCTCAACTTGACCCTGCGAAAATGCCCTCTTCGACAGAAAATGCAGGGCAGAGAAAGCACCTCTACCAGAAGCTAACATATCTGCCGGACCAACACAGGCAATTCAAAGATTAAACTAAGCATGCGTTTCAACATCAAAGAAGAAGAAGAAATAAGAAGAGAATCGCGTTTTTGTTCGAGAAGATGTCGGAAAAATGAGACTTCTATAAGCATGAAAAATGGCTAACTAGGTGATCAGGAGAGCTCGATATGTTATTAACGTGAAAGAACGAGATGTATGGTGCCGCGATGGAATCCGAGGAGAGAGCAGATACTAGAGTTCCTGGTTGGAAACCCTGTTTGACCGGCGAGGATGGCGGATACCTACGGTCCCGACAGACGGGAGTGGGAGACGACGGAGAGATCTAAGATTTTCAGGCCAGTTCAGGCGTCGGTTCCGCTCGGAATTTCAATGGTTGGACCGGGTCGAGTTGATCTGAATTCATTTGGACCGGTTAGATTTGTACCAACCAATTTTCGAATCAAATTTCAAAATATATTCTAATCATATATTTCTAACCTAATTATAACTAAATTTCAATTTTTTCCAAAATAACAAAAACTTTTGCTCACAGTATATCAGATGTAATAAAAAATTTTAATTTAATTTTAAAATATTTTTTCTTTGAAATGAATTTAACACTTTAATATATCCTTCGTCAAAACTTTATATTTATTTTAGTATGTCATGCAAAACAAAATTGCTTTCAAAATTTCAAAGTCTTAATATTTCGTACCCTTTAAGTAGTGCTAAAAAAATGAGATCAATATAAAAAATTTGAACTAGACCTCATAGGCTTGTTGTATAACTGCCAGAATTGGTTGGCAATGACGCTTCGGGCAACGAGATGTCTGCAAAAATAATTTAGCTATTGATTTGTGAAATTTAGGGTATGTTTGTGGCAGATGTTGATTATTTATAATTTGCTGATAAACAGATTATTTTGATAATCTGCATAAGTTGGCTTACTGCTTGTGGCGGTTATTCAAAATAACTTATTGGTAGTTATGACTGTATAAATGACCTTCATGCATCTGTCTGGTAAATTGTTTGGGGCAGCTTATTCAGAAAAGCTTATTGGTAGTACAGAAATATGTAGTGCAGAAACATAAAATTATCACACATGAGTTCGAAAAAATGACAAATAATTCTCACACTCTCGTGAGTATCAGAAAAAATAAATAAAAAAAGATAAAGACAAGTACTAGTACAATGAGAAATATTAAAATATTCAATTTCAAACTCTGACTACGTTTTGTCCTCAGCTGCAACATCAACCTGGGAAAACATCGGATTCTCATTACTGTTGACAGTGTAACATGTGGGACTGTCGGCCCATCGGAAGAAACCGCAACGAGCAAAAACACCCTTGCGACAACCGTAAAACTATCTCCCACTGCTATGAGGCTAACGCGACGTGAGTAATGGAGCTGGTAGTCCATAGTAACACAAAATAAATTTGTCTGTCACTGAAATCCTAGAAGTTATATTGGTATAACTGCGAAAAAAATGTAAATATTTCGACTAATAGGTATTCATGAATCAAGTAGAAGTACATTTAAAAAAAAAACAAAACTCCAAATATATTTTTTCAATTGATCTCATTTATTTTTAAACTTCAATCTGTCATAATCTCTTCCACTCATTTCTTTAAACATTTTAGCTATATTTTTTCAACCTTCCCTGTTGAAATAGGTGGTTGGTCTATTCCCGATCTCAATCTCGGTGATACAGAGGTTGCAGAAATATTTGTAACTTTTTTATCCTACATCGCTGAAGGACCCCCTTCATTTGTCTTAGTCATGGTGGAACTATATGAAGAATTAAATATGCATAAAGAAATACATATTGTAAATCAGCATGCATTAGAAAATTTTCCAAATGAACCAACAAGAGATGAAAGGCATCGAACTTTTGTACATGGCTTAGAAGAGAAACAGTAAAGAACTTGACAACTTCTTCTACCACCCATACCAACACGTGTCCAAATTTGCTCATAAAAAAAATAAAAAATAATGACAAAAAGGAATTATGTGGTTCGATCAAAGGCCTACATCCACAGTAAGATATTGAGCATGTTTTATTATGCAATTGTGTAAAGTTACATAGCTATGATTCTCAAGGAAGAACACTACAACTAAAATACATGTGTAACAATAAAGCAATAGACATCTTTCATATACTGACTGAATGGTATTGAAAGATACAACTAAAGTACAGGTGTGACAATAAAGCAATACACATGTTCTCATACATGTCGTGGAATCCGATTCCACCCGAAGCAACTGCCAAATGTGACAATAATTTTATTCATTGTCAACTGCAAATATGCATTTACATCATTTAGATAAGTAAACGAGATACTCATATCTACAGTTAACATCATAACCATAATGAGTGTTCTTATAAAAAATATAATCACGATGTTAAAAGACCAATGCAAACCGTAGTTCTAAAGACCAATACAACTCATAGCTCTAAAATATAAGCACTGTATTTTCTCTCTACTCTCAGCATCAAAGAAAGCCAGAAAACCCCATAAAAATATACCAACCCGATGCTCTAAAACCCAAACAAAAATAATTCATCAACAAAGAAATGAAAGTGAGAGAATTCATGCACTAAAGAGCAGCATTCAAAGAATTGCAGGTTATATATGTAAATGCCTCATGATATATTTTTTAACTAAAGAGAAGAGTATCAAAAATGGACAGCACTCAAAGAATGCCCCATTCTATAGATAGCTTGCAACTCGTCTCAACGCCAATGTCATATACATAGGACTCCAAGACCAATAAATTCCTCATTATACAACTGAGCAACATTCAAGAAAATGTATCATGATATATCCTCTAACTACAGAGTGAAATGTATGTAAATGCCCCATTATAGAGTGGAATGTATGTAAATCCTCCATTATATTTTCTGCTAACAGTGAATAGTATTTGCATTGGAGATGAAATGACAGGTATTGTTTCTTCTCCACAAATAACAAGAATTCAAAATATTTCCATGCATTGCAATCAGAAAATAGATCCCAAGAATTCCAAAATTTCAATTTTCCAATTCCAATATTTCAAACCATGAAATTTTAACATAGGAACAGGAAGAAGAAATTTTCCAAATGACCCTATCACCAACCAGCTGAAGCCTATATATAAGGGTATACATAAATTCATACGAACATAAATACTCAAAGAACAATATAACAGGTGCATTAGAACACAGATCGAATGCATTCAAGGGATTTGCTCATCTGTCATTCTTGCGATATTACCAGAAAAAAAAATAAATCGAAAGTGCACTGGAACACAGATCAATGCATTCCAAAATAATCCACCAAAGGCATTCTCAAGTAAACCCTAAACCATTAACCGAATCTTGCAAAAAAAAGAAAAACACATACGAATCGATGTTCGCAAGGAGAAGATCGAGCCATAAAACCAACTAGAAAGTATAGCAACACATAGATCTCACCAGAGAAACAATCGAATCAATGCTTGCGAGGGAGAAGATCATGGAGGGAGAGGGCGAGGGAGATCACCAAAGGGCACGAGAGGAATTCGAGCCCTAAACCTTAGTTGCGAACGCCGAACACGTTTTCCAAACAGCGCGGCAGCATTTTCAAAACGATGTCGCACCCAAATAAGCTGCCCCAAACGAGCCCTTAGCATAAATTATAGCTTATGAATTGTTTGATGGCAAAGCAATCTAAAGGTTTGCCGCCCTCTAATACCAAAAAGGTAATGTTTTCATTCTACTAGTATTTCTAAAATCTAAATTTAAATTTTTCCATGTACCACCCCACCAATGCATGAAATATATATTGTTTTAAAAATTAAATAAATGGCACTTTTAATGTGAAATAAAATTTTGGGCGATATAAATTCAAAAACAAATTTGAAGCGTTAGATATTTATGTACATAGGAATTATATGAGATGCATGTAAATGCCACTTTAATTTTGGGCAAGTTTCGTGGCATCTACATTCAGAAATTCTCGGCACCTAAATAATTCATTTGATGCGTAATAAATTTAAAATACAGTTTAGAAAATTTTGAAGCATCCCTTCAAAATCATATGGGAAAATTGAGCCCGTTTTATTTCAAATCAATCATAAAATATAATCTTCTATATTTATTTTATTTTCAACCAATCAAACATCCGTAAAATATTTCAAATATATTATTTTACTTTATGTTAAAAAAAATATCATAATTAAAAACAGCATGACGGCATATGGAGGTAACATTGACATAAATTGGTGCTACCGAACATAGCGGCCGTCATGTGTGCTATATGAGGTTCACCTCAAAAAATATTAAAGTGGAATCACGAACTCTACAATAACCATTTAATAACACCCGCAATTCCACTTCAATAACTCCGAAATAATCATTGCCGCAGTGATTATTTCTGAGTTATTTTTGAAATTTTAAAGAGAAACTCATATATTTCACTTTAATAATTCAGAAATAATCTTACAATAACCTCTATAATGTTATCTTGAGGTTATTGAAATGGAACCACAAAGAATATTTTGAGGTTATTTTGGGTTATTTCATGGTTATTAAAATAGAATCTATGAGATTTTTTCAATAACCCTGAAATAATCTTCACGATTCCACTTCAATGACCCCAAAATGATCTTCACGATGTAGCATACGTGGGAACATATTATTAGAATATGCACGTAAAGCTACATCCAGAGACCGGACAGAAAATTTTTCATTTTTAAGTCTTGACAAACCTAATCAACCATTTTTAGATCATTTTCTATAGCGCTCTGCTACCATCGCATGACTGCAATCAACCAACCATTGTAACTAACTATTGTTAATCAGCTTTCACCAATACCTTTCACAATCTACAACACCCATAAAAGAAAGAAAATTTTTATAGTTTTAATTATATACTGCACTATTTTCACCCGAGCCAAGCCTAATGAACCAAACAAAACTCAAATCTAAAAGTAACATCCATCCATTCCTCCATATGTTGCATGAATGGCGAAGACAGCAATAAAAAAATTCAGCAAACAACTCACGAATCAATTGATCTAGAGCTCATTTGAGCCACCAACATGAACCGGTTGAAAGTAGGATTATTTATTCATCTGTTGTTTCACCCACAAAGTCCGTCCAGGGACCCTAGTTCATGATAGATCAAACCATACCCATCCATCCACGAAGTCAACCCACAGATCAGGCCAAATTACACCACAAATGCACTATATTTTATCGAGTGCACATGACAACTCATGAATCTGCTCCGAGCACATGGTAAATTGTCGGCCGCAACTCATTGTCAAAAACCAAAATTACAATGAGGTGACTTCCAAAGTAGAACACAAACAATGACATGAAACCTGATTATCATCGCAAGTCAACAAATGCAGCGTTCTTCCATACCACACCATTCCGCAAACTCAAATCTATCTACAAAACAATAACATCTACAAACAAATTTGATTTGTTATAAAGCCAACTACAAATAGTGTTCAATGAGGTGGCTATATCGATTATGGTAAAATTCTCTGTAAATGTTTCACTTCAATGAAATATTAGCAAAAAATTGAACTTATTATATCATACTCAACAATATAAGAGAATAAATAACTGGGTGAAAAAATAACACTTTACAATTTTCCACACTGAATTTGTGACATCATACAAGATTTAGGCAAACCAAAAAAGGTAAATCTGAACATATAAAAAAAAGGGAGTTCCACACTCTAAACTTCTTATACTATAATTTTCACACTTAAAATATCCTATTTACGAATTTCACCCCATATGATCGATGAGCATCTCACCAAAGCCAATACTGAAAGGGCTTGTCTTTCCATTACTAGAATCATTCTTAACCATTCTTAAACTTCCGTGTTGAGGTGGAAGAAAAAATCAATATAATGAGCTGAGCAGATAGAGCTGTGATAATGGTTATGGAATGGATTCAAACGAGGGAGGAACGAGGGAGGAGAACTAATGGAATGCCAGACTGAAACAATTGTTGTCAATAATGACAACAGTTATCTCTGGCAAAAAGAATGCCTTTATTCACTTGAGAAGACATAGAAATCATACAAATCAATAAGTTCTGCTGATATTTACATATAATATTCAAAATATTACCATAAAGTGATATTTACATTCCTCTTCGTTTAAAAAAAAAACAAGACATCATATATTGTCTAATGATACTGAAATGTATCCTTCCTCCCGCAGCAAAATAAATAGAAAAAACAAACCAATGGAAAAACAAAATGATAAAGAAACATAACATGAAACAAAACTTGTTATGAAATTTTGATTAGTGCTCAAATCAACTAATATTTGTGTGTTATCGTAACGAAAAAAATTAAGATCATAAAATAAAATATGATATTGAACTAAATAGAGTGCACTTGAAAATTGATACAGATCATACTCCCGAGTCCAAATAGTGTAAATTCCAATAATAAATCTCATAAATATTTGAGTGTATTGAGTGCATCATCATTCTTATCCCAAGAATTATAAATATATTCACAAATCATACACGAATTTAGACACTTTATGAATCTATTCACAAATCCTACACGAATTTGGATGCTTATTGAGTAATGCGAGAATTTATATAATGATAAAGCAAAGAAAATTTATTATGTATATCAACTTTTCATTTGTTTTATTGACAAATGTCTGAGCCTCAGAGGAGCTAAAACTTGCGATTCACAAATCTTAATGAATAACTTAAACTTGGGTTTAACAATTTATTGGAATACATGCTTAGGACTGTTTATTGAGACTAAGTTTAATTGAGTCAAGTTTGTTCCTTAATCTTAAGAGTTAGTTGCTATTTTTCTTGATTTTGTTTCTTGTTATTTTCTTGGCTGATTTTAGGTCTTTTTCTTGGAAGTTTGCTATTAGCTCCAAGTTTAAATATTGTAAGTATTGTAAGGCTACACTTGTAAGGCTACACAAAAGATGTGTGGTTCTAATTTCCCTTCAATCTAAATCAATTCTCTTAAGTTTTCTCTTCTTTTGCATTTCAAGAAACCAACAATTTGGTATCAGAGCTCTCTTCTTAAGGGAGTTGTGTGCTAGTTTGAGCAGTTATGAAGATCGAACCTAGTTTTTCCTCAGTTGCTCCACCAGTGTTTGACGGAGACAACTACCAGATCTGGGCAGTCTGCATGGAGACTTACCTTAAAGCTTTGGATCTCTGGTAAGCAGTAAAAGAAAACTATGGCATTCCTCTTTTCCCTGAAAATCCCACCGTAGCACAAATTAAAGCACAAAAGAAGAAGAAGACAAAGAAGTCAAAGGCAAAAGTCTTCCTGTTTGCTGCAATTTCCTCCACAATCTTCACTTGTATCATGTTGTTGAAAACGGCAAAGGGGATTTGGGATTATCTCAAATCCGAGTACGAAGGAGAGGAAAGAATTCGAGGGATGCAAGTGCTAAACTTGGTTCGTGACTTTGAATTCTAAAAAGATGAAGGAGCCAGAAACCATAAAGGAATTCTCTGACAGACTACTCAACATAGCAAATCGTGTCAAATTATTGGGCTCTTTCTCCGGAAGATTCAAGAATTGTTCAGAAAATCCTTGTGACAGTGCCTGAAAGATTCGAGACTACCATCACCACCTTAGAAAACACAAAGGATCTGTCAAAGATTACTTTGACAGAACTCTTAAGTGCTTTACAAGCACAAGAGCAGAGGCGTATAATGAGGGAAGAAGGAGCCGTTGAAGGAGCTCTACCAGTAGATGATGAAAAGAATAGGTGGCCCAAGAACAAGAAGTTTCAAGCTATAAGTGGATAAAGATCTGCTCCTGAGAACAGAAGCAAAACTGAAAATAAAAGATTAGGAGTTAAAAAAGATTACCCTCCATGTCAACATTGTGGCAAGAAAGGTCATCCTCCTTTCAAATGTTTGAGAAGACCAGATGCAAAGTGCAGCAAGTGCAATCAAATGGGACATGAAGCTGTCATTTGCAATAATAAAGATAAACAGCAAGGAGATGAAGCACAAGTGGCAAATCAAGAAGAAGATGACCAAATTTTCGTTGCAATTTGTTTCACGAGTTCTGAAATTAGTGAAAATTGGCTTATTAATAGTGGTTGCACTAATCATATGACACATGACAAGGAGTTGTTCAATGAATTGAAGAACACCGAGTCCAAGAATGTCAGAATTGGGAATGGTGAATATATTGTAGTCAAAGGAAAGGGCACCGCAGCCATTGCAAGTTGTTCAGGAACAAGGTTGATCACTGATGTTCTCTATGTACCAGATATTGATCAAAACTTGCTCAGCGTTGGTAAATTAATAGAAAAAGGATTCAAAGTGATGTTCATGGGGAAGACATGTGCGATAAAGGATGTTGCGAGCCAAAAGATGTTTGAAGTTAAGATGGAAGGGAAGAGTTATTCACTCAATCCAATGCATGAGGAACAAATTGAAAGCACTATCAAGATTCAATCAGCAATTGAGATGGCTGAGCATGTGAATGTTGATGCAAGGCTGAGGGAATTAGAAATAGAGTCAACCTTACAGAAAACAACTGCAAAACTTTTAGAGTTGAAAGCTCGGCTTTTGAGTATGAAAATAGAACTCTCAGCCATGTCGCGAATGAATGATGAATTGAAAGATGAAATGAATAAGTCAATGGCGAGCCAATTTGATTCGGAGATGAGGCTGGTAAAGGCTACTACATAGGTCACAGAACTGAAAGCAAAAGTCTTAGATAAGGAGACACAGCTGCAAAGCATTATGGATGAGAATGACGGCTAAAAACGAAGATCAATAGACAGGGAGCATCAGGAGAATTATGTTGTTGTTGTATTGGATGTTGAGAGTGCAAAATCTGCAGAACAAAAAGCATTGATGAGACTAGGTGTTGTTAATGAGGAGGCTGAAAATAAAAACAAGGCAACAAAGGTTTTGGAGCAGCTTGAGGCTGCTCAGGCAGTGAAATCAGAGATGGAGGCTGAGCTGAGGAGGCTAAGGGTGCAGTCAGATCAATGGAGAAATGCAGTTGAAGCAGCTGCAACAGTTCTCACACCAGGGAACAATGGCAGAATAGTTGAGAGGACGGGCTCTCTTAAATCAGACTACAATTCACTGCTCCCTAGGAAGCTGCAAAGCTCCCCTTTCTTCGACGACTTGAATGAAGATTCTCCCAAGAGAAAGAATAGCAATATGATAAGAAAAATTTTAATGGATCTCAATCTTGAGCAGAAAGAAAGCACTGAGATTTTTGTTGACAACCAAGTTGTCATTTTCAATTCTCATAATCCTGTGTTTCATAAAAAAAACTAAGCATTTCAACATCAAGTTATTTTTTCTAAGAGAAGTACAGAAAGAACAATTTGTGACTCTGGTTTACTGCAAATCTGAAGATTAGTTAGCAGATTTATTTACAAAACCACTTCCAATCAACAAGTTTGAGTTTCTAAGGCAAAGAATGGCAATATGCTGAGGAAAATTTTAATGGAACTCAATCTGGAGCAGAAAGAAAGCACTGAGATTTTTGTTGACAACCAAATTGTCATTTCCATTTCCCATAATCTTGTGTTTCATAGGAAAACTAAGCATTTCAACATCAAGTTATTTTTTCTAAGAGAAGTACAGAAAGAAGAATTTGTAACTCTGAATTACTGCAAATCTGAATATCAGTTGGCAGATTTGCTTACAAAGTCACTTCCAATCAGCAAGTTTGAGTTTTTAAGGCAGAAATTTGGTGTTCGCAGCTCCTAAAGAAAGGAGGAGTGTTGGAATACATGCTTAGGACTGCTTATTGAGTCTAGTTACTATTTTTCTTGATTTTATTTCTTGTTATTTTCTTGACTGGTTTTTAGGTCATTTTCTTGGAAGTTTGCTATTAGCTCTGAGTTTAAATATTGTAAGGCTACACGAAAGGTGTATGGTTCTAATTTTCTCTTCAATCTACATCAATTCTCTTAAATTTTATCTTTTTTTTCATTTCAAGAAACCAACACAAATCCACTTCATAATACTCTTAACTAATGTTATATGTTGGTTCATTGAGCAAATTATCACCATTCATTATGCATGCCCAAAAATGTTAACGTCAACATTTCATTTTTCACACCTTTAATAAAGGCCATTCTAATCCATCCAACGTTTTAAATCAAGTGTTCCTTAGTTTATCTTTTTGTTTAATTTCTCAGCACGTCTATTTAACATTCTTATTTTCATCACTCAACTTGGACATCAATAATTTCCTTACCACATATATTCAAAAACATACATTATTGGTAACTAAAGCTTTAAAATTTTATTGTTGTCTCCATGATACCTTAATATCACCCAAAACTCTTGATACTAGTCAACAAATTAACGATGTGATCTTTAACATAAGAAATCACGTCATCATTTATATGTCTATCATTTTTCTTTAAAATTAAACCAAGAGTTTTAAATTTACATTTTTATGTCACAGTTATAGCCTATGATCACCCAAAAATCATGATACAACTCTAACATTTTAACCATCTATTTACGTAAAAAATCATATCCATATCTTCATCTTTCTATAAAATAAAAACGATATAATTGAATTAATCATATTTAGATGCCACATTATCTTCTAAAAATACTAAATAATAACTATCAATATTAGGCTCACCAAAATTACATAACATGTTATCAATATTAATTATACTAAAATTCTCAATTTTTCAAACAAGCCTGGATTGTTATAATATGTTACTTATTTCAGTAATGTCTTCCTAATAAAAATTATATCAAGTGTAGAAATTATAGAAAATTTCTAACTTATAAGAATGGATCCGATACAACACGAATTGATTATTTTCTTATGAGGATAAGAGATATTCGAGAATGTAAAGATTGTAAAGTCATTTCAAGTGAGAATTTATGTACTCAATATTAATTATTAATTCTCGATTTTAAGATGAAAAATTGTAAGAACAGAATATTATAAATCATTGTCATGGGATTAGATGGATGCACTTGAAAGACATAAAATTATTTTTAAGAGTAAACTTCAAGATTTCAAGTTTTGAGACGTTCATGAAGAAACAAGTTATACATGGAATAAATAAAATTACACAAATGACAAAAGATGTAATTGGATAATCTAAAGGAAAAAAATTAAATAAATAAAAATAGTTGGTGTTAGAATAATAATGTGAAAGAAAATATAAAATATAAAAAATTATGTTAATAATTCATTAAATAAACTGTCATAAAATATTGATAACATAATTTCTTATATAAACTGAGATGTTATTAGTAGAATTCAAACTGGTTGGTTGAAGTCGAGGAATGCATCGAGCCTATTGTGTGATACAAAAGTACCACTTAGATTGAAAATAAAATTTCATAAGATGGTGGTGAGATCAAAATTCTATATAGCACAGAATGGTGGCCTTTAAAAGAGAAGCGTAAATAAAGTGTTGTTAAGATGGAATGCTTTCGTGGATGAGTGGCTAGACACGTAGAGAAAAAATGCAAAATGAATATATTCCTGATAGGGTTGTTGTAGCTCTAGTAGCACTGTCGACGATAAAAAGTGTGGTGGTGGGCTGTTGTTGTTGCCTGTAATAAGTTGTCGGCCACCGGGATCGAAATACCGTCGCCCGCTTCAGAAAGACGTTTTAATTTACATATAGATTTAAGTTTTAAAATCAAATATGAAATCAAACTAATCATAGTTTAAATGAAAGAGAGTTTTACCTCAAACTCTGTATCTATCCCAAGGGATAAACACAAAACTTGAGGATAAGACTCGATTAAATAAACAAGATATATATGACGTCCGTTTGATCTGCGAAACAGTTTTATTTACCGACAAATTCCCCTATTTAATATGAAAAATTAAATAGGATTTATTTTAAGCTGGGTTCGGAAAAGCTTCCTATATCAAGACTTCAAAAGGATAAGACTTTTCAACGAAATTGGACAAAGAGGTGTGCAAAAGCTAATGATTCAAACTTGAAACATTTATTGTAGCATCCAAAGGAGGAAGAACTAGGGGATGCCACAAATCTAGAGGAGATTCTCGATGGCTTCCCAGTCTACCCTATGGTTTGGCTTCAGTTTCGACGAAAAATATTCAAGTGTTTTATCCTGCCAATTTTATTTAATTGGGGCTTACATTCGTGTGAAACGCTCACACAAATTGCCCGGAAGATGTGAGAATTTAGGTCGTAACGAACGACAACCTCAGAATTCTAAAGCGAGTTAGGGCTTAAATCGTATAGCAGAGTTATACAAATGCCTAACGAAAATGTTGAAGGTTTATGTTGTGTTAGGCAAACAACCTCAAAATATTATGGATTGATGTAATTTCTAGGAAAGAAATGACTTAGCTGGGGAAGACATGTTCTGCTATTTAAGATTGTCGTGTTGCCCACCGCGCTAGTTCCAAGCTCCTTGTCGTGACGAGTTTAAGTTTTTTATGGTGTCAAGTTATGATGAGTCAAATCAAACAACCATATGGTAATAGTCTTCTAAACATCCTATATAAAAAGAATGCATGATTAAGGCTATATAATATAAAATGTGCAGTACAGGACAAACAGTAGGATGCATGTAGAACAGTAGCAAGTAAAAACAGAAATTGTATAACATGTTGTACGGGAATAATACAACATGTTGTATAGGACAGTAACAGGTAGAAACATGAATAGTATAACATGTTGTACAGGAAGAACAGTAGCAGGTATAAACAGGTAAATGAAGTGTTGTAAATGTAAAGCAAACATGTATCCCTGTGAGATCCGCTGTTTCTTAAATATAGCAAGTTGAAATGCATCGCAAAAAACGAAGTCTGGAAGAAACGTCATCCAGGAAATTCAAAGAAGAGTGTAACAACGACTCATGGTAGAATACTCGAGAAAATCAACAAGAAAAGACTTAAGTAAAAATCCTAAAAAATTTTGGAGAAATCTCAAAAGAAAGGAAAAGAAACACGAGTGTCTTGTCCCAAAGTTTCGATAAAACAAAAAAAGTTCGGGTAAAGGGGACCGCAAGCACTCATGTGGGGCTAGGCTCAGATATACATACATACTCGAGGGTCCACGAAGGCTACTCGGTCACCCGAAAATATAGAACATGTTACTCGTTTAGAAGTGTATTTTGAACCTCACCTAGAGAGTTATTTCCCAGCCTAAACAAGTATTCATCAGGTGGACAATCAATTTTAAAATGTATTTTAAAATTTATGTTTTTGACATGCACATAGGTCTCATAAAAAAGATCATCAAATTTTATTTTATAATGAAAAATATATTTTTATTTTTTTTAAATAAGTTTTAACAATTTTTTTTATTGTCCAACTACCTGAGGAGGTTCGAGTCAACTCCTGCTAGACTTATGTCGATGAAGTATACCGTTATCCTATTGTTCATCAAATACCTGGAGATTGATGTTATAGGACAGGGCATCTTTCTGCTCTATCTTCAGTGTGTCTTTATCATCACCACCCTACGCCCCAAAACAAACTAATTGCGACCTTGCTTGATGGTTTCACGTATAGCAAAAGGGCATACATTGACACTTATGCGTCGGACATAAGCATAAAAAATCGAACTAAGAAGCAAGAAAAAAAAAGAACAAAAATGGGATGTGAGAGAGGAGGCACTGATCCATCTAAAACACCGAAAAAAAAAATAGATCAGTTCTCAAAACTATCGAAAAGACCTCAAAAAGTAGGGCCTAAGGTCTTTCCTAACAAACATAAAGGGCTATTTTACGTTGATTTTTCAAACCCCAATGACATAAGAGATTAATCAAATCAGTCAAATGCTCTCCCAAATAAGACTTGCAAATCCTCCAAACCCCAAGTTGATATCAAAATCTCCCAACTCTCAAATTAATCCATGGCCTCACACATCAAACAAACACGAAATTTTTCCAATATTTTCCAATGCACTGAGGTGTGCCTGTATCAGTAGAGAAAGGAAGACAACTACCAAGATCCTCGACCCAAGTGAGGTAAAGCCAAACCCAAGTGAGGTAAAGCCGGTAAAGCCAAGAAAATTCACAAGTAAAAGTCAATATCAGCACCGTCGAGCTCCAGACCCCAATAAACTCCCACAGGTGACTCACGGCCAAGGCAAAACAAGGCCAATATAAAAGACAGAGACCCACGGTTAGGACTTAAAGAAGGGAAGTACTCATAGCCCCGACAAACAGGGCAATCCAAACCAACTCCAAAGCATTGTAAGCAAGGCTCACAGCAAAGACACGAGGCAAAGGGAAAGGGAAGGCTCACGGCCGAGGCGACTCAAATAAGTTCCATAAAAGTTTTGATATACATAAGAGAGTACAAAATATCACGAATCTCTCAAAATAACAAATTTGATCCGCTTACAATCATTCAAATGACTCAAGCCCAACAAGAGGGGCTAAATTAAATTCAACAAACTCCAATAGGTCCTACGGGTATGAGCTAAGGTCAATGAAAGCCAAAACTCACATCCGCATCTCGGGCAGGGGCGAAACAAAGCAAACCCGAGCCTCCAACTAGGGTCAATCCAACTCTCGAATAAGGGTTAAAGCAAAACACTAACAGAGATTAAGAACCTAGCTTCCTCATAAATCAACTTCCAATCACT